GTAGATGAACCTACGTCGTCCGTAATTCTTAAAGGTAGGTAGGAGTGGTCTGCGTTTGTTTTATGGTTTATCCAACGGCCCTTTGCACCCGGGGCGTCATTGACTGTTGTTTTTCGAAGCGGCTGCGTGATGCTGCCAGGATTCGGCCACCGTTTCGAGATAGCCAGAGTATTTTGAATGTGAAGGGGTCATTTCACGCCCCGGTATGGTGTGTCTGAAATGCGATGCCGGCAAAAGCATTGTCCAGTCGTGTCTCCAAATCTTCCGAGGATATGTGGTGGGCAGTTGCCAATGCTGTCCGGCTTCCTCGTTCAATGTCCACTGTCCCAGCGTCATGCAACTTTGCAGGCAGCTGTTTCGGACCTGCTCATCTGCAGACCTTTGACCGACCTTCCACTCGTGCACACACGCGCGTCCGATTATTCGCGGCTGCCCGAGGGCCACTTAAATACGCCACCCCTCGGTTAACGCGGCATGGGCCATTATACTCGACACAATCTCGGGTAATGCAACACACCAATTGGATCCAGTCAACACTAACCCTAGCTTTGCTAGCGGCCACTGCTGCCTGAAAGTGTAGTTTGGGGTTCTGTGCACTATAAATCCCCCATTCTGGTGACTTTTGTCTTTTATAACAATACGAGATTAGACCTGATGAGTGCAGTACTCTGCGTACGAGCACTGCCCAGACGCTACAAACTGGTGACCCCGACGTGATCCGAACACGCAACTACCAGGAAAAGCAAAACCTTTTCCGGGATTCGGTCTGTCGATTATAGTGCTCTAAGCACAACCACTAATTCACCGGACCATCTACTAACATTATTTGCACAGACCCGGTTTTGTTACTGTCAGTTTGTTGAGTAGGTGGAAGTGCGACATGTGCGACGCCTCACCCAGCCCGATCACCACTAGCAACGTCAACCGACTCGACAGCCTTTGAGCCTATCCTGCCCACCGTAAACTCCGGTCTGGTCGGTCATTTGAAAATCTATCGCACAGACTGGTGCTATACGCCCACTTAACTGTCTTCACAGTCCCCACACACATTTTGCACATATCTGTTCACCACCCACATTCCACGTGCCTACGTCCAACTGGATGCAGTGAATCGGTGCTTATCAGCTTCTTCATGTGACTCAAGCCTGGGACCACCAAAATGCCGTCGATTGGAACGTTTTTGCTACTGACGATTGACAACTCAGACCTTTTGGTTCAAGGTTTCGTAGTCGGGTCCATGATAGCAGGTCGATACGAGGTGCCGAAACTGGCAACGTCCACGGGTCTGACCATGTTCTCGTTCACACACGCCTAAAGGTCCGCCTCTCATCTGCGCCCAAAAGGCCACCTGCGAGACGCCTGGATGCCGCAAAACTCCGACAACCTAACACTCCCGATAACTTAGACACAGAACTCCGATCCCGTTTTATGATTTCAGCTGACAGTGAAGGTCTTAACAAGTGGTCCACACTTCACATGGGGTGGCTGGGAAAATTCATAGATTCATTCGGTGGCGCCGCAGTCAGTTAGTCAATGGATTTGAGCAAAAATTGGCTTACGACTTTGAATCCCCCATTTGTTACATCAAAATCTAAAGAAAAAGAAGCAATGTAAAAAATAGTTCAATCAGGCTATGTAGACAGGATCACATCGTGCATTGGTGTTTTAAGGTTACTTGTGCTGCAGCGTATGGACATCAAGCCGGTGTTTGGCTTTTCTCACAGACTGGGACATAACAATCGCCCCTCGGGTAGGTTAATCCACGGTTCCAAGACTAGATTAGACAAAAAATACTTCCTCACTTCTAATTGTCCTTGGGGTACATACATTTGAAGGGATGTCCCCGGTGTATTTTGTGTGGAGTGGCCGACTGACGGTTTAAGAATCAGGCCGCGATGGCTCCTTCTTAGCGTGGTCTCTTTGGCACCCGCATTCCGTAGGATTCGAGCTTGGTGTGGCGGCATGACTAGGGGTCGCGCCAGCCACCTGCGTTCTCTCCCCTCTCCATGACTTACTCATGGCACCAAGACCAGGTGGTGGTGATGGAGGAGAGAGAGTGGTACATGCAGTGCAGGTCTGTGATCTAATTTATGCTCCGATCACCGTTAGTGCACCCCCTTACGGTTGAGCATACACGGTAGATCTCGTCGGAGTCGACGATCGAACTGTCATTGGCGCTTCGACAGACTTGCTTTTAAAATTAGAGACATAACTAAAACACATTAGTCCCTTCTTGCCGAGCTGTTACCTGAAACTTGTCGTACTTGAAATGTTCACGAAAGTATTCACATAGTCCTTCCTTAACGAAGGGTAATTCCTAGAAAACTAGGAAGTGACACTATAAACCCATTGAAATCATCACTTAATGTAATTGCTTCCTTTCCTGCCTGCAGCTGTAAACGGACCTGATAATGGCTTCAAGTTGAGGTATCCTCACACTTTTTCGGTTGGTTATTTTTTTTCGGTACGCCTTTCCATCGAGGAAACCTGCTAAACTCGTAGTGTACGACAAACTATCAGGAAGTACACGTAAATATCAGCCCGTCCCATTTCTAATACAATAATAATATAATACATTGGCCAAACAACGAGATGCTTGGAAAGCAGGGTTCATGGACGCCTGCCGGCATGGTTGAGTAAAGGCGAAATTACATCGATGTCGACTTTTATTCTTGCACACCTTGTCGATACGAATAACGGAGTCGTTCCTAACGAAGCCTTTCAAGTTGTTAACCGGACATCTGCCAACTTCTTCAAGGGTCTATGTCAACGAGTGCGACCAACAGCCGAGGCGGTGGCTATACGGCTAGCAAATCCAGTGTTGTGTTGTAAGAAGACGCGTGCAGAGGCATTTGCTCTTCCGTGGCCGACGCCAGGGGGGTAATCGCATGTCGCCCCCAACCCCCTCGTAACATTTGTTCACTCCGTGGACGTGACAGTGATTTTCACTCCGCCTACTCGATCCATGACCAATACTACCAATCCTACCCTTTTTTCTCCGTCCGCTAGTTCAATGACCCCTACATGCTGATCTCGTCATGCGGACGGTGTGAAATCGATTGATTAACCCTATCGAACTCTACTATTTTTATTATCAGTGAAATTTTGCAGGAGATGTTTGCCAGATAGACTTTTCAGGTTAAACATGGGAATATTTTCAGAAAATCACATTTATGTCAGCACCCATTCTTTGAGCAGATGAGAAACGATAAAAACTTATTGATGAGTGTGTACCTTAGACATTTTATTTTTTGGATCCACAAGCTGCATCTGTGATCGCTGGCACTCTTTAAAGTTTCTCAAAGCTTGCTGCTGTCCTCTTGTAGACACATGGGAGTATTGCCGGTAGTATTAACGGCGACTGCAGCGGAGAGCAGACCCCACCCGAGAAGGAGGTTTTAACTTCAGCCAAGCCCAACTCCCGACCTTCCTCCAACCTTCGCTCCTCAGTCTACCGGCCGGACCACGATTCCTCCATCCTCATTCATCGCCACCCGGACAAGGGGTTCACTGAGCTGGTCCTTCGTTCTCCGGGCACTCCTGTACAGAATTCCTTCACTGTTAAGGTATGTGTGTTTGTGTGTGTACAGCGGTGCTCTATTGTTATGCTTCTATGTTACATTCTGCTGCCTTGTCGGATTTTTAACCAATTGTCATGCCCCACAGTGTGTGGGGTTCAGCTTATTTATGCCTCCCAACCCTGCGTTTCCCGTGTGCTTTCTGGCATCAAAACAACCATTTCCACACCCGAAGGTCCCAACCTCAAAGGCTTCATTGAGAAGGATGAAATTTAAGTGCACGAGTTTGTTTCCGCATTACGGCTGCGATCAGCTGCACACCTTGTTAGGTAGGCTCCCGCGCGCCTAGGAGCGCCATAAGGGCTGCATTGTAAAGGAGCCATTGGGCCTGACTCTTAGCCCGTAGTAAGCCCCTCCACATAAAAAGACACACACTGGACCGACTGCGGTGTCCCCGTCAGTTATTCCATCAGTTGGCAAACCCTCCAAGCCACGGCTTTTAGCCCACCGCAACAGCTTCAAGCGCACCCGATTGTTTTTAGTGAGGAAAGAAATGCTCTGAGGGTCGACCTCACTCTCTCCCCCCCCCACCGCCTAGCTGATCAATCGCCTGAGATGGAATGGGCGTAGGAAAAGGAAAGAGAATAAGTAGCGGCCTCAACACGCGCACATACACACTTCTTCCTTATTGTGCACTCGCACCTTCGGGTACCACGCATATGTGGTGATTATCATTG